TTTGGCCCCGGAATAGCGAAACAACTACGCGATTCGAAGAAAGAGCTCGAATCAACCAAAAGGGATACTGATACCTGCACCTACTGGTGCGAGCATCCGGACTTCAAGGGGATGCCGGGTAAAGAGGACTGGGGTTAGCTAAAACCGAACATGTACGTGATCGGTCATGTTGTGTGTAGGTGGTGATGTTTCAACACTGACCTTTCCAGTTCCACATGTGTCTCTCAAACCTCTAAACCATTACTGGTGGAGCTCTTCAAGCTTGACCGTGCAGGACTATGAACTCGTCAGAATCTGGGATTCCTTAACGTTCGAGGACGATGTGGAAGATGAACTGGCTCTATCGTTGTGCGCCAGTGGATCTCTGAGTGAGAACCAAACCCGTCAAGCATTGCATCTTGTTTGGGCAGCTACCCTATGGCTCCAAGTGCCTCCTATGCCTTTTCAGGCTTTTTGGATCCTCCAAGCCCACCCAAACATGTCTTCAGAAGGCATTTGGAGCCCTAGGGATATATAAATTATCAAGGTCAGTATTTTATATTAGAACCAAGACCAGTTTGACATAACCTCCACCCGAGGCAAGTTGCTACCAGTGGTGAGATTGCAAGGTTGCAGTCATCGGCTCTTGGTCTACATGAGGAGTCAAGACCCTCATCCATTACTGAGCCGGAACCGAAGGTGAAGAAACCACCAAACACCCAGCGACTAGTTGCTTCTAAGATTTCTGCCCTGAGTGCCAAGAATGCAGAGATCATGTCGTGGGATTCCAAAGTCAACGAGAGTGACAAGCTGTTTCTTGACGTCAACATTTTAATGAAGTTCAATTTCAATGAACGTCATTGCGCACTAAAAATGAATTCACTGTTGGGGTGCAGGTAAACCACTTGTACATCACCACTCAGGTCCGACACTCTGAAGAGTGGATTTGCCAAGGAGTTGGCAGCCCGCAAAAAGGACTTGGACACCTGCAAGGTCAACTTGGAGAGCCTGTATGCCCAACGCTTGGATGATTTGAAGGACCGACCAGAGTTGCTCTCCAAGGTGAATGGTGCTATCCGTTCTTGTGATGCTGCCTTGACCAGCTACAATGGGACCCTGAAATCCATCAAGTTGGCCATTGCAACTTGTAAGTGCAAAGCTGTTGTACTTGTGTCTTTTATGGACTGTCCATTGTTTTTGGTGGTGCAAATCGTGATTCAGAGAGGATACTAGATCCATGGTTCTTAAGGTACCACCTACGCCAAAGGTGCCAAAGGCGAAGTCGAAAGCCCCTCCACCGCAACTGCCCAGCGGTGAAGCACCTGCTCCATGAGGGGCATTTCATCCTGAGAGATCTGAATCTGAGCTGTAAGCACAGAAGTCTCAAGTCGGAGACCTGTGTGTGTGGTTTGTGCTTGGAGACTGATGGCAATATATCTGAACATAAATTATAATTAGCAAACGTCCCAAAAAGTTATATCGATATGTTACATATATTTGTGCCTCAGGATCCAAGCCTGGTCTGATTGAGACCATTTCGAAGTTTGGGGGTGATTCTTGGCCGGTGCTAGCCTGGGTGGACATTGCCCTGCAATGTGAAACACCCTGGACCCTGGATCCAAGCTGGTGATGAAAAAGCCCGAACAAACTCGGTGTGAAGTGTTTCATGGGTTGAGGTCTCAAATATTGTCAACCTCGGTGTGGCCTCTGGATGTTTGGGTGGGTATATGTATAATATCGGTTTTGAAGCACATGAGGTGCTTGTGTAAATGTATTGTGTATATGCTGCACCTTCCATCTCATGCAGCGAAGACATGACCATTGGTGGACGCCGAGCCGTTGCGGAACGAAGGATTTGTCATTTGAGGGATTTGTGGGATCCATTGGCTTGACAACCATGGTTTGCCATGATCCATGGGCTTGACAACCAAAGCCACTCAAGGGTGAACAATGAACCTTGATCACTGCTTCTGTCTCAATCCCCAAAAGGTTGCCAATTGTGGCTAGGTTTAGGGCGTTGCGGTTTCCGAAGCCAAAACTCGCCGCGAGTCGAATTCGAGATGTCTCGACGAAGTCGTCGACTCGATGTAACGGATTTGAAAGAACTAGTTAACTTTCTAAAAACCTCCTACTAGGAACAGGTGCCACGCTAGTAGTAACAGGTGCCTTATTGCTTGGGTTGTGGGTTTTTGAACCCAAAGTCCCAACCCAGCCCTTCGCAAAACCAGCCCTTCCCAAAACCAGCCCTTCCTTCAATGCCCACTTCCCCTCGCAGGTGCTGAAAAGATCTCGCCGTTGTCATCTTACCTCCTGAAGCAAAGCGGTTTGGGAGCCACTG